CCACGTAAAATCGAGTTAGGAGAGGAGTTATCAGAGCTATATGGAAATCGGTGACAGTTGTTGCTTAAAAAAAAGGAGGAAATTCCGCAGAAATTACTAGTTACCCCAAAAAATATGTCTTAAAGTATTAAATACAATTTTTTGAAGTACCTGATATATAAAACCCCAATCTTTAAGGTACAGATATTCTTTCTCCTTTCAAATTAAATAAAAATACATATGTCTTTTCAAGAATATACAACCAATTACCAACACTGTCCAGGAAAACCCCCGAATTTTCGCTGGATTTACTTTTTATGACCTTGACGCCTGCGCAGTTGCCTTTTGCCATTTCATTATATGTACTTTGGATGCTGCCTAGAGATCTCAGCCGCGGGGTTATAAATTATTTATTGTTTTTTGATACAAAATGACTTTGGAGTTTTTCTTTCTTTCGCTGGGAAAAATCAAAGAGGGTTCAGGGTTAAGAGAGGGCTTTGTTTGGTTCCTGGAACTTCCTGGCTGGGTCGCATGTGGCGCTGGGCTTTGCTCCCGGGTTACTTCATTAAGTCGCCCGGGCCAAGTCATAAAATCTGATATGACCCTCTGTCTCTCTGCCTCTCTTTCTATCACTCGCTGTCTCTATATATATCGCTCTCTCTATCCTGCAAGAAGGACTGGCGAACGAACGAGCGGGCGAGCATAATTTCCGCACATTTTCACGTTTTGCACATTTCCGTTGCATACTGTTGTGCGCGCCCCGGCATTTTGATGACGTTCTCCTCGACCCACCAAGGACTCTTCCTACTCCTCCTTGTACTCTTCTTTTTTTATTGTATTTTATACAAATTTAGCTGGTTGCTAGAACTACACATTGTGGCCCTGCGATTGCTGGCATTTTAACGAGTTAATGCAGGGAGCAGGACATGCAAAATGGCCAGCATTTTTGGAATTGGAATTCATTGAACTTTGAGCCCTGGTTTTTGTTGTTCTTGGTTGCTTTGGTTATAGGTTGGATTATGTTTAATATTATTTTCATAAGTATCTGATGATGAAAGTCATTCAATTTGTATTAAAAGCTACTTTATTCTTGTCGAGAAAGTGTTGGGGTTTTTATGACAAAACACGTAGCTTTCATTTGAGTTCTTAAGGATAAACTTTGAAAGTATCTCTCTTCTAAAATGCTGATGAGAGTAGTTTAAAAATATCACTCTTCTCATTAAAAATTAATTTTGAGAATGCTCTAAAGCTTTTATCACATTAAAATTTAACTAACAAGTTTTATAAAACTTATCAGATTTCCCACTAATTTATTTTCTGTTAATTTTCCAAAACTCCTTTTCTTGTTAATTGCCGTGAAATCCTGTTCTAGTTCATATTCTTTGTATTTTCTTTTGAGTAAAAGAAAACCTCATTAGTCATATATATTTTGTTATTTCATTCGCTTCTTTACATTCCTCCATTTTAGCTCTGCATTATTTTCAATTTCTTTGCTGGCCGCTTAATTTATTGTATATATTCCAGCACTCGCTTCCTTTTCTGTGTCGACCGACCTTTCTTTTGTCATATTTATTGTACATTTTACACTTTGCCCACTCATTTCTTGCACTTAAGGGGTTTCCACACACACACACACACACACACACTTTCTTCCCATTGCTCCCCTTCAAATATATTATTGAGCTGGGGAAAAACTCGTTGAATCCGATGTTGTTTTGGCTTTTCGCAACCAACCCTCCTCAGCTCAAAGGGGGCATTTTTAATGAGTCCTATGCAAATATATCATTAGACTTAAGTGTGTATACTTGTTGTGTCTTGGCCCGATAAGCGAGCCAAAGGATTGTGACGGGGCCGCCCGCCTTTGATTATGACAGCCACCAGCAGCATCCACATTTCCGTTGAGGAAAACCTGCCATGAAAGAGGAGCGGTGGGAAAACTAGACGCCAAGGCCCTCGGGTGGGTGGTGGCGGAAAAGCTGAGTGGCTAGTGGGCAGTCGGAATAAAAAAAATTATAATAAACCCCCAAAAATTTCAATCTCAATCGTCAACAAGTTTCGCCTCCTCCAAAAACTGTTTTCTCTCCCTCCTTACTTGCTTTCCCTGGCTTTTCTCCTCGCCAGCTTCAACTATTTTCCTATGCACAAGGGTGGGAGGGAAATGGGTTTCCCGGCTTGAATGGTGGGGGATGGAGGAAAAGTCTCAGGCAGTCGAGGGTTAATGCATGAACGAAATTCATGGCAAAACTTGAACTGAATGTGCCCAGAACCAGGACACCTAGAGAAATCCTAAAGGAAACAACTAGTTTTTACTAGTTAAATAAGATAAATAATCCGGCTTGGTCTTATATTTTTTAGATTTAGATTTTTATGCAAAAAATAAAGTTTAATCATTGGAATGCTTTATAATAGTAAAATAATCACTGTACTTTGAAACATATACCTAATTTGGCCATTAAGTTCACAAGATACATAAGAAATATCAAGATTGGCTCTCTAATTCCCAAGTGGTTCTAGTCAAGGATACAAGAAAGTAAGGTTTAATCTTAATGATCAGTAAATATTAAACAAATTAAATATTATTATTATTATTTAATGAAACAGAAAAAGAAAGTTTACCTAAACAGTTATTGTTTAAACATTACTTTTGTTTTGTGAAATTTTACAATTTGGAGAAAGTTTTTTCTTGACTTAATTTCTTTTTTATATTTCATCAACATTTCCCTCTGTGTAACTGGCTAAAAGCGAACAAAATGCCATTGCCGTGTCCCTTTTTTTCGGACCAGGCCCAAAAACCCAAAAGTCTACTCGCTCTTTCTATCTCTCTATTCCCCACTCAGCACCGGAGATTCTCCCATTTCTCCTTTCTCCCTCTCCCTCTTTCTCTCTCTCTTTCTACTTCTCTTTTATGCTTTTTTGGCTGTTCTCTGATGAAAACTACTCAGCGACATGAAACTTAACTTAAAAAGTTTTGCACTTTCATTTTGTAAATGAAATGCTGTTGTTGCCTTCTCCCCTTGATGTTGTTGCAGCGAAATAACAGGAAAACAATTTGGAGCGGATAATGAATATGGGTTAGGTTTAGTGCATTTTTCGTATATAGCCAAAGGATTGAGGGATATATGTTTGGATGGATGGATGTGGCCAGGGAATATTGCTTTTGTAAGGCAGAGAGAGAGAGAGAGGTGGAGTGATTCCCGGAAAAACCGCCTCTAAAAAGGCCAGAAGACAGGGGGGTGCAAAAAAAAAACGAGGGGTTTTGGGAGCAATGAAGTGATGAATGCATTTACTATATGAATGAGTGATTACGGAGAAGCCAGTGAAATGTTCATGGGGCCGTGCACTTGGGGGTTGGTTGCCAAAAAAAAAACGAGAATGCACAATAAATAAGGCTCAAAGGAATGAAGGAAATATGCTGTTTTGGTAACAAAAAGGGTCAGTAAAGGGTGTTGGTAAGGAAATATAATGAAAACTGTGATCGTTTCTAAATAATTTGAAAGGAATTAAGCCTATACAAAGATGTATTTTCAAAGTTTTCCATTAAAAAATAGTTTTTTGATGAGCAAAGGCTTCCTATTGATCGAATATTTCATCATATATTAGAATATTATATAAACTTGATTTTTTATTAGTAAAATATATTCCCATTTGTATTCATTGTAAGCTGTCTCATAAAAAGCCACTCAATCTTCATGAATTTTATTTGCCAGTTTCGTTTACTTTTTTTTTGGGCTATTTAAAACGATTCTTATGGCTTCTGACTTTTTTCTAATTTTTCCTTGTCTGCAAAAACCATTCTTCTTTAAGTTAAAGTCTAAAAAAAGTGTCCTTTAACAGGAACATTTGTGGGCATAAAAAAGAAAACCTGACGGGAAAATACAGCAATAGCAATCCATGTTCAATCTTCTTTTTGCTGGTCGTCTACGTCTTTGGCCCCGCTTTTCCGCTCCGTTCAGTTGTCGCTCACGTAATGAAAATGGCGCACATGGAACTCGGGGAAAATCCAAAGGGGGGAGGGGTTGAGTGGGTGGAAAGCGGGGGAGGCAGCAGCGGCAGAAGCCGAAGGACAGTAGGACCCTCGCTGACTGCCGAGGATTCACTGAAGCCGAGCGCCAGGTCGCCGAGCAATTTTATGAACAGATGTGTGGTAAAATTAATGGACAGAGATAAACTCGGCCGGCGAGTGGGAAATGGAAAATCGAGGGTTAAACGCAAAGCAAGACAGAGAGAGAGAGAGAGAGAGAGAGCCACAGAGAGTGAGCGCGGAAAACTCCCCAAGACAAAGAGAGAGCGAGAGAGGGAGAGCGGGAAAAGCGGGCTTGTTTGCCCAACATGATTTATGATCCTTTACCCCACAAAAAACCAAAAAAAAAAGAGAAAAGAAAAGATAAATAAAAGAAAAACAAGCAATTCGTATCAACGAGTGAAATGCTCGAGTGGCAAATCCAAAACTGAGTTCCACTCAATGCGTGTGGAAAAGCCACCCCCTAGGAGCTTTTCCGTCGTTGCTGCTGCTGCTGCTGCTGTCGGGATTTTCGTGAAAAGCTGTTGACTTCGTTACGCTGATAACTTAAATATGCATGGAAATTTACATACGTGTCAATGGCATTAAGTAGCGTTATGTTATTGGATAAGCTCCATTCTAGGCAACAGTTTTGTCCTGCTTTATAGGTTTTTCTTTTCGGCAAAAGGGGTTTTATATCCCTTAAATAGAGCTATCTGGGGGGTATTTCTTATATGGAGGGGTATATTTAATTAAGGTTTTCCCATAAACTGTATAAGTTTTATATGAAGAAAGGTAGGGAATGACCTTATAGATACGAATACAAAACCTCTGCCTAATATATGGAAATTATCTTTATAGAAAGAATAGATTTTTGTATACAAAATTCCGACCATGGTATCTCTGAATATAAGTTTAAGGACTTGTATACTTAATTAAGATTTCTTTCAAACTTTCCCTAGACTTTCTCTTCACTTATAACACTAATATTATATTTATATTGTTCTTTCGTGAAACTCACCTGAATGCCATGGGCTCCTCCTCCCTGCTGGCTAATGTGTAGCTGCTGCGTTTGCTTCATCTGCAACGTGGTGGTTGTTGCCTGTTGTTGCTGCTGCTGCTGTTGCTGCTGCGGCGTGTTGCCGGCATTGCCACCAGGGCCGTTGTTCGGATTGTTTTGCTGCCCATTGCCATTGCGTTGCTGCTGCTGCTGTTGCTGTTGCTGCTGCTGTGGTCCGCCGCCGGGTTGTTGCTGCTGCGGCAGGTTGCCTGGCTGCTGCTGCTGCTGATTGCCATTCGGGCCGCGAAGGAAGTTGGCCGCTGCATTGGCGTTTTGGTTGCTGAAGGGCGAGTATTGCTGTTGCAGTTGCTGCTGCTGGGGCACCTGTTGCTGCTGCTGCTGCTGCTTGTTGAACTGGGGCACACCTCCCATTTTGGGCTGCTGCTGCTGCTGGTGATGTTGCTGCTGCTGCTGCATGGCCTGCTGCTGCTGCAGACGCTTGAGATCGAAGTCGTTTTGAGAGGAATAAAATAGCTCCTGTTTAATGTCCAGGAAACTTTGCTGCACATTCATTCCAGCTCCGGGACCCGGACCCTTCTGATGGAACTGAGGCGGCAAATGTTGCTGCTGCGGCTGCTGTTGCTGCTGCTGCTGCTGCTGGGGGTTGTTGGGGCCCAGACCAAAATCATTGGGAAAGCCGCCGCCGTAGTCATTGTAACGATTCGGCTGACCTTGCCCCATCATCTGGCCATGCTGCTGCTGCTGCTGCGCCTGCTGTTGCGCCTGCTGCTGCTGCTGCTGGGGATTCATGCCATGAGGTGGACGCGGGAATCCACCCATTCCGCCCATGGCATTCTTGTGCTGATGCTGTTCCGCCATTTGCTTGAGTGTCTGAGCGGCCAGCGGATGCTCGGACATGAGATTACCAGAGTTGCCGGCAGAGTTGGGGGCAACATTGGAAGCCACATTGCCTCCGCCACCGCCGCCGTTGTTTGGACCATTGGGAAAGCCACCACCGCCGCCGCCTTGGTTGCCGCCGCCACGCATCTTCATTCCTGTATTATCGCCGAGATTCAGGCCAAAGCCACCGAAGCCATGTCCCAATCCACCCTCCGACTTCACATTCAGGCTATTGATCAGATCCTGGGCATTCGGTGGCTCCACCTTGATGCCATCCTCGGTCTTGATGTCCAGCAGCGGCTTCTCATCGAAGCCATCGAGGAAACTGGGATTGAAGTCCTGCAGGTTATTGATGAGATCCTTAAAGGTGTCGTTGTTCTCCGAGTTATCGTCACCGAGGAGATCCGGAAAGCCAGGGAACTGCCCACCGCCGCCATCCTTGTCCAGGGAACCGAGATCCGGAAAATCATGATCCGGTTCTCGTTTGCATTCCACCAAATTGGCCAGATTGCCGAGGGCGGACTTTTGCTGGGCGGACATCATATTGGGTGGCAGACCCAGGTTGCCTAGGTTACCGCCGACTCCCAGGTTGCCAACATTGCCACCAACGCCGGGACCCGTGGCCATGCCACCGGGTCCGCCGCCCCTTCCATTATTGCCGAGGCCTCCCAGTCCGCCGCCTTGCTGCTGCTGCTGCTGCTGGTGATGATCACCTCCGTTGTTGCCGTTGCCACCACCCCCACCGTTATTATTGGCTCCTCCCCCTCCGCCGCCGCCGCCGCCTCCTCCTCCTCCGCCGCCTCCTCCTCCGTTGTTACCGTTCCCGTTGCCACCACCACCTCCGCCTCCTCCAACTCCAACTCCAACTCCAACTCCTGGTTCGCTCTTCACCGAGGTGTTGGTCAGCGCCTTCACTGTGACATTCGTGCTGATCTGTTGCGGCTGTGAATTTGCCGCTGATGTGGTGAACTCCAAATGTTGCACAATTTCCACTGAGAATTTGCTTAGATTTTCCGAGCCGTTGTTGTTGTTGTTGTTGGTGTTAGTATTGCCATTGCCATTGCCATTGTTGTTGTTGTTGCTATTCGCATTGTTCGTGTTGTTGTTGCCGCCGGTATTGTTGTTGCCATTGTTGTTGTTGTTGGCATTCGGATTGCCATTGTTGTTATTTTGGTTGCTATTGCTGCTATTGTTGTTGTTATTGTTGTTGTTATTATTGGGCAATTTGTGCGGCGGCTCAAAGTTGTCAGCGCCATTGTCAACATCCTCCGCAGGTCGTTTCAGGAATTTTTGTTGCTAAAAATAAGAGGGGGGAAAGGGAAGAAATAAATGGAAAACATTTAGTAAAATGTAATAAAAATAATATATATTTACAGAAATATTTGTATTTGGAAATGTTAATTAAATTTCAGTTTATATTTTATAGATATAATATAAACTAATTTTATTTACTGAACTACTATAAATTCTTAATGCTTATTTAATTTTAACAAAGAAGTAAGATGATTAGTAATGAGATTTTTAAAATTTGATTTGTAGAAATAATTTGTCATAAAAAAATATATTGATAAATACATGTGCTAAAATAATAGTATTCTAATTTCAGTCAGAAGCTTGTAATGCAGTGAAGGAGTCATTTCCGACCCCATACATCATATATATTCTTGATCAGCATTAAAAGGCGAATCGATCTAGCTTTTTTTAAAGAAAACAAGATTTTTTAATTTTTGTTGATTTTTAGAAAAAATGATAAGGGGTTACATCATTAAAATTTGCGAAAATTTACAAAAATTTTAGGTTTTAAACTGGGTATGCAGTTTTGTTAACCTTTTAAAAACTAACAAAGGCCAGCTTTCCGAATTAAATTTAATGCTTTTTTGGCTTAGTTATGAGTTTTTTAAACATAGGTTTGTCGAAAAAATTTTCATATAAACGTATTGATATGTATTGATTCAAATCCGAAAATTGTAACTAAATTATGATTGATTTTCAAACAGCAAGTGTATATAAACTTGTTTAGAAAAAGATGTATGTATTAAAAAATGTATAAAAAGTTTTTAGAAATACTTAATATAATTTAAAATATCACTATATACTAAGATAATTCATTATTTAAATAATAGCGTATTATCCATATTATCTTACCCAAATATTCATAGATAATTATTTTATGACTTTTACTGGCTTAGGCAAAGTTATGTTTCGAGTTACTTGAGTTGTTTAGAAGACATCAAGAGTCAAGGAGACGAGATTGGGGAAAACACTTCGATATATATAGACACAAACACACAGAGTTTATATAGTTGAAACTCGATTTCGATATCGGAGAATTGTGGGGAGGCTTTAGGCTGCGAATCGATAGGGGGAGCTTATCCGTCCAGTGTTGGAAGGCGACGTCGACAGTGTTGAGCAGCGTCGACAGTTTTGCATTTTGTTGCGTTTACTTCGCGGGCGCATTTGGCTTTTGTTTTGGTTTATTATTTTCTTTTTTAGTTTGTTCTTTTCTTATTTTGATTTTCTTCACAGTTCTTTGCAGATCTTTTGTTCTGTTTTTTTGATTGTAATTTGATTTGTTCAGCTGCTCGTACGAAATTACACATAAATTATAGATGTATGTATACATGTACACAAATATATAATGTGTATATGGAAGAGTCGCACGATTCGATTAACACTCGACAACAAAACAATGGCAATAGCAACAATAGCAAATATCGCTGACTTGGCAAGAGTAATCGAAAGAAATTCACTCTTTGCAAGACGTGCACAAATTATTGAAAAGCCTTAGCGAAATTTCATGAAAAAAATGGCAAGTGCACACAAAGGCATACAAAAAATGTATATTACAAAAAGTAAAAATAAAAATATAAAAAAAAAAATCAGAAAATATACAACAGAGAGGTAGCAAGAAGCAGAAACAATAACATAAAAGGCAAAAGACACTTCTAATCAGTGGCAGCGACGTCGACAGCTACTGCGACTGCGACTGGGAAAAAGAGAACCAGAACACCAGCGAATGTATCTGTGTGAGCGATTTTTATTTTGAGTCAGTGTGCGTTATGTTGGCGTCGGCTCTGCCTTTTGTTTTTGTTTTTCTTACTGTTCTGCTTTACTTCAGCGCTTATGGGATACCCATTACTTTTTAGTTAGGTGAGGGTATACCTACTCGTGACTAGCAAGTAAAGTATCTTAAAGATAATCGTCTCATAAAACAGATTTTAAAGGAGAATTCAATCCCAATACGTAGTATCTGTTATTCAATAGAAGTCTATTGAATTATATACTACAATTTTTGGGCTAAACACAAAATTTTGATAAACAACATTTACCATCACATTTTATTAAATTTATTAAAGCGAAGTTTCAGAAAACTTTCCCTGAATTTGAAGATACTTGGATCTATATTAAGATCTAGAAAATGAAGTCAGATTTTGTAATAATTCTAGATATTAGTTATTGTCAAACTGTCCTGATAGCTTTTTGTATCATATAGCACACTTAGGTATCCTTAGCTATTTATTTGTATATCTTAGAACATTTTCCAGAGTTTTCTTAATATTTTCTTGATAATTTCTCATCCACAGCAATATCTTACCCCCCATTAAAGACTAATTACTAGATTTCAACTTATTTAAGGTGTCGTAAAAACTCCACTCGAAAAAGTATCCCCCTAACTTCACGCTTGTAAAGTGAATAGCAGAGAGAGAGAAGAGAAGACGAAGGCGAACAGAAAAATAAAAAAAGAAAACAATCACATTTAAATCAGAATGTGTTTGCTTTTCTTTTTTTCTCCGCCAGTTTTTCTTTTTATTTTCTTGCAGGCGTAGCGCGCGCGCGACTTTAGCTGTTTATTTTGTTTTTAATTAATGCAAAATGTATACAAAATAGCCGCGAATAGGCGCAGCCACCAACACAACACAATGACACATGTGTGAGTGGGGTCGCGAGGTGTGCGAGTGTGTATCTGAATCCGTGAGTGAGTTGCGAGTTGTTGTGAGTATCTGTGTGTGAATATATAAACTTCACTTTGCAAAAGCTGAAGCAGAGGACTCTATGCGGTTGCAAATGTGCAAAATAATGTTGCAAAAAGGTAACGCTTTTCTGAGCAGCAAAAAATATTTACCACAATTTTCTCTGATTTTTCAGGTAGCTTCACTTTGCTATAGTAGAAATTATGTTGGAAAAGATACAAGAAACAAAGGGTATAGGCTTCAGAGATGCCTAAAATCTAAGACAAATGCTTTCTTTTTAAGAAAAACATTCAAAATATAGATAGCTAAAGAATTATTAAAATTCAGAAAGTCAAATGCTATATAAAATACCATAATTTTAGCAAACATGCTCCACTTTTTTATATAAAAATATCCTAAGTCCCCCTAAGACTTACAAGGTATCAACTTGCATAACAAATAAAGTTAAATAAATAAATATTATACCCCCAGAATCAAGGGCCACGCTCGTAAAGCTAAGCCCAATCATTCCCAGAGGATTATCCTCTTCAATGTTCACTCTCTCATAGTCATCGATAGCCACTCAAAAGAGGGTTAAGCCCCTCAATGGAGGGTTAAACAATTACGAATAGCCAAGATACTATTCCTCCCAAAAAAAAACTAATGAATAACAGAGTGAATACCAGTCACTCTCATTCACATTCGTTTAATAAGTTTATGGCACTTTACAACACTCGAAATGCAATGCCATCTCTTTCTGTTCCCCCATTTCTATCTCTCTCTTTCTCTAGGTTACTCTTTGCACTGTATTTCTCAGTTCGTTTCGATACACGCGCCAACACTTTTCCCACTTTTCCCTGGCTCATTATGAATAAATGACGTTTCATAAATTTGTTTTTCTTCCTCTACGCTGCGCTACCACACACACCATCGATCATGTCGTCTCTTTCGCTTGCCCCCCGCGTATCTGCATCTGCTGTCTCTTTCGCTGCCTGTAGTTGTATCTGTATCTGTATCTGTATCTGTGTTTTTGCTATCTTTCGATGGAAACGTGACACAAAGAATGCAAACTTGCGTTGACCAGAAGCGCTGGGAAAGAGAAGCTCAAACATGTAAACCCCTGCCGGAGAGAGAGATAGAGATAGACACGGAGACAGAGACAGGGAGAGAGAGCAAGCTCGCACAATTTACAAACTTAAAAGTAATTTAGTTTTTTACGACTCCACTGCGGTAATAAAAATGTTTTGCCCTCTACGTATTTTGCCGCCACCCTCACCTATAACTATAACTATAGCATAGTCCCGTGTACCCTCTGACCCTGTCTCCTTCCAAACAACCCCTTTTCTGGCCCTCTTTACCCCCTATTTTCACCCCCTAATTCCCCGCCATTTTCCCACATTTACTGCATTTACATTTATCGATGCGTCTTCGCCTTTGCCAACCATCCTCATCTTCGCCTTTGCCTTGGCCTCCGTCTTCTTGGCTTTTACGTCCTGATGTCCTGGCACTGGGGCTTAATAACTTTGTTGAGCTGGGGGGAGGGTATGGGGTGGGTTTGGGCCCTAAAGTGTCTGATGTCTGCGAGGGGTATTGGTCGAAATCGAAGTTTACCAAGATGAAGTACTGGTCATACAGTGGGGAAGGAGTATAAGGAATCAAAGATGGAGAGTCCTTCTCCAACGAAAGTTCTATATATTCTCAAAAAGTATTATAAAAGTGTTAATTTCTGGTATGAATCTATGAATTATGAATCTTAGGTAATCGAAAACATTTTAAAATTGTAAAATCGTAATAAAAACTTGTTATTTGTTGTATAAATTAGTTGGACATTTTCAAGAGATTCAAAAACATGAAAATGCTGCTGAAAAGTAGGCTACAAATTTGGCTTCACTGCATTTTGATATAAAATATTTTATAGCCATTTAGATTTTTTCTAATTCTATTAAAAATTACAAAATAACATGTCCTGCAAGTTAATTTGTAATTTAAGAAATACTTGTAACTTGATCCTTTTTCAATAAAAAGTTATTTTCTACTATCGCTTCCCATTTAAATGTCTCTTCTAATAAAATCACTTATTCTTTCGAAGCTTTTATCATTTTTTTGACCATATTTAAATGTTCTATATATGTATTTCATGGTGTAAAAAAAACAAAAATCAAAAGAAAGTCAAACATTTCACAGCCTATGGACTCATTTTCTATCTATCTTCGTCAAGCCCCTGTTCCTTCCTTCCCTCTTTTGATACATTTTCTTCTGTTTGCTTTACGCGCAAATGAAATAAAGCAACTGAAATTATGCCGCGAACCTTGACACATTAAAAATAAGCAACAAAAAGCGTGAGTA